ATATATATATATATATATATATATAAGAAGCTATTCTGTGTTCAATTTGATTGAAATCTTAGTTCAGCGTTTTTCTGTTTGGCTATGGAGGTGTTTGGCCGAATAGATTGTTGTTAAAATAGTAGTAGGCAGCAAATAAAATAACTCGGTTCATTGCTAATTTGAGCTCCACAGATCAATCTCGTTGACGGGTGATTGCCGATTGCAGTGATCTTTAGAATTAACTAAGGGAAAGGCGAAACGAAGGGCTCGCATGGTGTGGTGGTGATCGCGTTAGCCCACGGAAAGTAGAGTTTCGAGTTCGTCCCCTACCACAGACTGCTGCGGTCCTGAGTTTTGCAAATATCTCAGCATCATTGTGGTTGTATTATTGACTGTTTTCGAAAATGCATTGGACTCTACCCTTGCAGTCATTTCATAGCTCTTGTGAATATTACTGCAGAGTGGGAAGTTTGTTTTTATATTGTTACAACATAGCAGCAACCACACAAAGAAGTTGGAATAATTGGAAATGAAAGACGAATACGCTTCAATTCTGGAAGATAGGCGCTCTATCGTGAGCTGTATCTACATATTTCTGTTGAAATCTGTCTGACTACGGTGACCTACAGGCGTTTTGACTCCTAAGCGATGACGCCTCGAGCTACCAGGTTGCGGCTCTGAAGTACCCACAATTTTCACCCGCTACGGAAACGTTTTTCTTTTTTTTTGAGAGAATAAGAATATAACACAGTTCTAAAGGATATCTCGCTCCATGATTCCATGGTTGTATGCGATATGTGTGCTATTATTTGCTGTCACTATGGCACATTATAAGAACACATCCCATTTGCATTAAGAAGCGTTTTGCAGCTCATGTCTGAACCATTTTTGCTTTCTTGTACCCACTAACACATGGGATCGATACCCGCGCCCACGGCTCACCAAGCTTTCCTTCGTTCCGGTGTCGGCAAATTGGTACACAGACTCGTCTGCGAAGATAGCAGCCCTGTCTCGATACATCAGTAGTTCACCTCGAGTTACTGTAAAGGCCAGTTATGTATTCGATCGCCTCCAACGATGCCTAATGAAGTCAAATTCGTAGCGTCTTCCTCAGGGATTGATCAACGTCGAGAGCTTTGTCCTTTCCATACCCTCCAATACCATACTCATTATAGCGATTGGAATTAAAATAACTTTTAATTGCTAGTCAAGCTACTGGTAAGTAAATAAGTTTGAGATGTCTTTTTGCATATTTCCAAATAATTAATAAAGCTCTTCAAGTACGACACCTACCACAGCATGTCGGATGACCT